GATCGTTTCTGACAATTCTTGCGAATCACTGTGTATTAGAACACCACCGTCGACAAACTCGTATCGCCGACCGAATTTCACTATTCACGAAATTCACTATTCACGTGAATAGTAATGAATAGTAACCTCGCAGAAAATTTGACAAAATTCACAACCAAAAGCTCTGATTACCAGTTGTTAGGAAAATAAACCGAGTACAAGTAATTTCCCTATAACCAGATTAGTGAGAATGCGAAATAAAAGCGGAAAAATAATACCCGAAAATTGATAACGGAGTTCAGCCAATTGTGCTTACGTCTCCGGGCTGCTGCAGATCTTTTACTAAGAGAGAAAATTTACAGGTGTTTACAAAACACTCACTACTCACAAGAAAGCTCTCTAGTATAGGAAGAAAGAAATGTTTTGGGATGATTTTGAAGCTAAATGGGTAAGGGTATTTATAGTAGAAACTTAGGGACTAATCTTTGAAAATACCCTAAAGTGCAATGACTAAAGTGAATTTACCCATTCCTATTTTCAACAAACATCTACCAAAATTTTACCAAACTTTGAAAAACATTTTTCAAAGAAACATTTACCAAACTTTGAAAAAAACATTTTCCAAAGTTGGTTGCCAAACTTTGAAACTTTTAACACTGTCTATCGCGGTTCCATACCGGATGACCTTGAAGTTACAATTAAAAGATTAGTGGGTCGTGGAACTGGAAGAAGCGACCACGAGTTCTCAGCGGAGATTCAAACCCTGGATCGGATCAGGCACCAGAACATTGTGAGACTGTTCGATTACGTATCGAATAAGGACACGAATCTGTTGCTGTACAAGTACATGCAGAATGAGAGGTTAGGAGAAATGTTGCATGGCTCAAAGAGTGCTTATTTGCAATGGGAGAGGAGGTATCGCATTGTTGTGGAGTACAACTTTCTATTGGTTTCTTTGCTTTGGGTGTTGATTGAAAATGTGTTTTTTTTATAGGGAGCTGGTGGACCTGATGAAGAAGACAACTTGTGGCCACCGTGGTTGAAGCCTTTGTTAAGAGAGCATTTCTTTGTTCAATGCAAGCTTCATGCTGATTCTCGCAAGAGTGAATACAAAATGTACTGCTTAGATTTTATGAATGGCGCTCTCTGCTCTTTATGCGTAGCATATCACAAGGATCATCTTTATATTCAGGTTCAATATTTTTCGTTTTTGATTCATTTTTTTAATAAAAAAAATACTATTGCTAACGGTTTTCTTTTACCCGTTTTTCCCTTTGAAATTTGTGTCATTTCCTCTTGCGGAGATATGGAGAATTCCGTTACTCAAGACCCTTTTTCTGGCAGTTGTGTTTCTAATTCTGGGCCTCTGCTCTCTATCCTTTCTTAATCGAGTTTGTTTTCAATTTGATTTAAAACACACTTCTTTGAAGGATTAAGTATACAAAAAGTGTCCAACTTATGCCTATTTTTTAATTTAGTGCCTAACGTTTTATTCAGGTACTTAAAATGGATCAAGTCGTGACGGACTAATAGTTTTATTTGTTAAATGACACGCGTCATACTCTGATAATTTTGAAATTTATTTTTTAAACAATATTAAAAATATTATTATATTTATAAAGAAACCCCTTATTTCTTTTAAATTATAAAAAAAAAACACAAAATCCCTAAAATCTCCAATTCCTAACATTTCTCCGCCGTCGCCGCCCTTTCCGGCCACGACCATCATCGCCGACGTAGTCCTTGTCATCATCCTAGTTATAAGTCATTGTAGTTGTCATCAATTGACCGGCGAAATCACTTGGGATTGCGATTTTCATCCTATGATTTGCAGTGTATAAAACGTCGATTCATCGTCGATCGACCGTCGATCAGTCACAATTTCATAGGGGTTTTGGTCATCAGGGGAGGTGAGGTCAGGTGGAGCTTCGTCGACGGCAAACGGCGGTGGTCGGCGTGGGTTTAAGGGTTAAAATGAAGATTTTCAAAGTTTTGGGGTTATTTCGAATTTTATGTGTTTCTTTTTAAAAAATATATATGTTATTTTTTTAATTTATATAAATTTTTAAAACTATCATATTGTGGCACATGTCACTTAATAGAGGAAATTAACGCTGTTGACGGTTTGACTCATTTTGAGTAACGGAATGAAGTTTTAGACACCAAACTGAAACGAAATAAACATTATGCGCTAAATTGAAAAAGCGGACATAGATTGAGAACATTTGTATACTTAAGCCTTCTTTGAATTTCCTCTCCTAATTTATTTCTTGTTGTTCTGTTCTTCTTGAATGTACTAAAAAGACTAGAACTTCCATATTTTCTCAGCATCCAAACAGGCACTGACTCCTTGTAAAAGGATCTTCTTGTCATCCAAAACAATGGTGATTTCCGATCCCACATAATATAACTCCTTAATCTGTATGTTTTTCTTTTGAAAATTGTCTAATCTAATTTTGCAATTCTTGACAGATAAAGCTATAAAGCTCACAACTTTCTCATTGAATTTTACCATTCTTTTTCTCATTAATCACGAAGATTCCACATCTATTTCGATTCTCTAATTCGATTTATGAAAACATGCAATCCATCCTTCTCACAATCTTTTAATTAGTAGTAGCATCAAAATAACCATTAACTGTTTGATTTGATAACCAAACGCACATGAAAAAATTATAAATTTAATTTTTATTTATAGTTTCACACTCTTTTCTTCAACTTTTATGCTCGAATATTCCTTTTCTCTTATGGAAATAATACCCACTTTCTTGATTGATGTATAATATATTCTTGGATCAAACTAGGCAGATTAAAGAATCCACGTTTGTTTCTATGCTTTGATTTGGTGACGCAAGAACCTAGGTGATTTACTGTCGGTGTGCTCCTGTTTCTTCTTACTCGGTATCAAATGTTGTATATATCATTGTCATGTATTTTTTTTATCCAATATTAAATATATATTATTCAAGTATTTCTCAATTATTTAATTGAATATCCAAATCTACATGAGTTAGTGAAGAACCCTCATGACTCTAGAATCGCCTGGTACAATATATGATGTTTTTATGTCTTCTTTAAAGGAAAAAAAAAACACAAAATTTTAACTAATCAAATATCAACACAATAACATATATGTTGAGTTTGAAATCTATCAAAAATAAATATTTTTTATTTTAATTTTCCAGGTAAAAGTTTGTTTTTAATTCACGTCATGTACTGTTGAATTAATTTTCATTTATTTTTTTTTCTCTTTAACCAACGAATGGATTGAAATGCCAATAAATAAAATTTAATGCCATATTAAGATGGTCGCAGCCTTCATGGCTTGGAAAAAGAACAGCTGAGCCGTGGGGCAATCTTATATAGGGGATATAACTTGTACTTAACTTAGACTTGAGGATTATTGTTTAATTACTATATATATATATATATATAATATAAAATACATTTGGAGTATAATTTAAAGGCCAAAACATAATTTTTAGAGCAATGAATTGAGTGAAAACAAAAATGAAATGCTTAATAGAGGTATAAAAATCAAAGGAGTGTAGGAAGCATTCTTCCTTCCAATATTGAAGTGGGAGATGGGTGTGGCCCTGTGAGATGGACCGTTGAAAATGAAGCCCCAACCCTTTCCTATCTATCCAATGAAACAACACACCATTTAAGACCAACCAACTTACCTTGATTTATCTCAAATTTAAGAGATACTTTTTTTTTTAATTTTTTGAATGGAAAGGAAAGGGTAAAGAGTTACATCAGCCTCTAATATTCAGATAAGACGGACCATAAATATCTCTGTGGAGAATACAATTAAAACCCGTTAGAATCGACTTGTAGATAGCTAGAGATCCATCCTTTTTGGGTGGATTCTTGGTCATGTAGTCCGCTACTTCGTTAGCTTCTCTTGCGACCAAATTAAAATTGACATACCACGCCTTTTGGCAAAGATCAGCTATGGCTCTCACTTAAGTGAAAGGACTGTGCAAGGACGGGGGAGAAAGAAGATTAATGACGTAGCTATTGTCCGCCTGAACGACGACACGTTCAACCCATATTGTCAAGGTAGATTAATAACTCCATTTTTTTCTAGGGTTTGGTAGGAAGGAACTAAGCCTACTAAAGTGATCAATAATAATTTTATGAACTACTATAAGTTTTAAAAATAGAGCGACACTGGTAATTTGATTTATCATCAATGAAAGCTACTGCTTTCTTATATATAGTTAATAAATACTAATTAGTGTTACATTAATATTGATGTTAACCAAATCATGCATCTCCCTATGATGATTAGATCATGACACCCAAACCTTAATTAATGGAGACATGTACAATTAATTTGTCTGGTTTCAGTTGTTATATATATATATATACCTATCACACATATTTTCCTTGAAAAACACAATCATATAAAAACCATACATTTGCATCAGTTAATCTTTCATTACCTGACCCAAAATATTACCGAACATTCAATCCATCATCATCCATCCTTCAATTTTATTGAGGCTTAAATATAGATGTACATGGACGAATATATAATTTAATGTTAGAGTGACGAACTTATAAAAATTTTAGGAAGTGAAATAGATAATCAAAAGCGAAGAAAATATCTAAAATATATAAGAAATTAAAATATTTAGAGATGTGTCCGTCTCTTTGAATCTATCCCTATAAAATCATTATTTTATTTCTAACATATTTTAAAAGTGACAGTCAATTAATATGTTGATGATTCTCCATGAATTTATATAGTAGTCCTTAACTAATAATATTTCCTAGTTTTTCTTAATTTGATATATCAACACATTTAACAGAATCACACGCATATTATTATATCCTATATACTATGAAGAAAGTGAAAAGTCGAGGAGATTCTTATGGAGAAAGCAAAAATTTATATGAGAAAATATTATTATATGAATCAATTATTACTATCTCACAGGCAATTATAAACTTAATCGACATCTTCTATATATATATAGCTGTAAACCTATAATTATAATCTATCACATACTTAAAAAATTCTTCATATATATATTATGATCTATTAGTAATTAAAGAAACAAGTTACCCTCCCCTTCTGGCACGCCAAACGAAGAACAGTTCCTATGAAGCAGCTCTTCTATCATTTGCAGTGCAATTCTCTCTTCGTCATCAATCTCTCCTCTAAGATCAGTAGTCTCTGTCAACCCTTGTGTTGTGGAAGGCAATGTTTTGTCAGAAACTTGAGCATGATTCCCTTTTCCAAGCTGGACAGTCATCACCCAGTTGGAGTCCGAGGTCTTCCCTGCCCGCTTTTGCCACACGCCGATGTGAGAATTCTCCGTGTCCAGCCTTAGACAAGTCATGGAAGGGGATGGCGCCTTGCTGCATTTTCTAAGCTTTGCATGGAGAAGCTCAGATAACTCATTCGGAGGTGATGAATGGGAAGAACTTTCAGTGCCTTGCTGGTGATCTCCAATTGGAGTTTGTGATGCGGGAAAGTTCGTTTTCGCATTCCTCCCACTCATTAAGATTGCAGCTTGATCATACGCTCGGGCTGCCTCTTCAGCTGTTTCAAATGTACCAAGCCATACTCTTCTCTTTCTGTAACAAAATATTATATATAAAAGATTCAAGAGTAATTGATGTTGAATACACCGAGAAAAGCTTATAGAATAGACTTACAGTAAAGGGTGGCGAATTTCAGAAACCCAGGAGCCCCATTGTCGCTGCCTTACACCTCTGAACTTCTTTGATTGCACCATAATTAGGAAACAGATAGATTGGTTTGAATCTGAAACAGGCAAGGAAAAAAACAGGTTCTCAGTCTCAGAGAAGAAAATCCACCAAGTACATGACATACATAAGAGCTGATCAGAGGATATATAGATGTTATCTTTTCTTTTTACTGACAAATATGAATTGTCGGCCAACTGAGAGGCGTGTAATTAACACGGTCACCTAAACCTTCATTAAAAACCTTGAGAACCCGCCAAGTAAATGACTGGGGCTTACCTTGCAAGGTACTCCGTCATCAACTGCTTCCATGCGATATATAGTTACGAAAACTACATTGATGGGACAGACCTTTTTTTTCATCCATGATACTCAACCAAAGATTTCTCTTTTTTAAAATGATCATTACTAAATATTAATGCTGATTAAAGAGTAACGAGAGATGATTATCCAAGCAAATTAATGATCCAGACAATGTAATAGTGGTAGTTAATAACCTTCACGTGGAGTTGAGCTAACTATTAATGTAGGCCAAGGTAACATGTGTCGGCATCAGCTGCTAGGGTAAATGTCCACTGATTAATTACCTTGTTTTTACAAGGGTTCTTAGTTCAAAGTTCAGAGAACTGAGAGAAGACCAAAAAAAAAAATTGCATGTGTATATATACGTAATGATTTGATAATAATAAGTTTGTCTTTTTTGAAGGTCAAAGACTTACCACTCACCAAGCAAGATAGATTAAGAATCGATGCACCGCCACGCACGATATTGGGGCATATATAATTTCAGACCTTATGCAAGACTCTCACCAAATGATGAGCTATCTTCTTAGAATTGTGGAAAGTCTTTATATAGAACTTGAACGTATATAACGTTATTTTAATGGTATAGTTAATAATATAATTAGCAGTTTATTTCACATAGCTAAGACCATATAACCTAAGACAACTGAATTTTCGGTTCAAGGAGCTATTGATAATACATATAGACTTAACTGGAAGCAGTTAGATTAGATATGCAACAAGTTAATGAAAGTCTGTCAAAGAAACTACCATTGTAGGGATATGCCTCTCTCCTAGATATTTTTAGATACAGCTTGTAAAGTTCTATCCTTTTGTGCGGTAGAAGAACCGGAGCTTGTATGGAAAGAGTAGATGGTTAGCTTTTGAACTTATTGTAACGAATGCATGTCGTGGCTGAATAAGAATCACTAACACCCAAATCAAAAGCACATGAAAAGTGTTGATTAGGTCGGAGATTATCAATCTTGCTTTGATCACTGGTCTTTCCTTTTCACCTGTACAGTTCCGGTACAAAGGCCATTATAACTCGAGACAGCTTCAACCCCAGAAATAAATTAATCATCACTTCGGAGTGGTTATGCTAGCGCATGAAATTTCAGATTTATATATAATCATTTATCAATGTATCCAATCGTGGCGTCAGAAACAAGGAAACTGCTGGGTTCCTTGCTACTAATTGTAATATTGATGATAAGGAAACATAGGACCACCAGTACAGCACTACAGCTAGAGGGTGAAATGTCAAAGACTAGAGCAAAGCCATCAGGCTTCAGCTCCCCCCCATAAGCCTAGAAACTGAAAGACCTCCCTAAATAAATAAAGCATAGCATGCTTTATTATCCCATGTGCAGCCTGTGGTCCTTTTCTTCTTTTTTCTTTCTTTCTTTCCCTGGTTGTTACCTTCTGGTTTACCAACCATTCTATAGTTGGCTGAGCCAAAAAGAAACCATTTCTATCGTGGAGTCATTGAGGCCAGGGGCTGTAGGTAAGTATTTCCTGATATGGATGGCGAGTAGAACTGAGATTCATGTGATTTTAACTTTTGGTTATTACTTGGTTTTTGAGTTTTTCAGACGCACCTGTACTGTACATTCATAAAGTTTTTACAACCTTCCTGGGACAGGGATGGCAGAAGAGAAGTTAAAGATCTTGTTTCATAAAGAGGTCATTTAAGAATGGATTTATATAAATACATGTATGTACAGTTGAGGGGCATCTCATTCCAGAACTTGAACGCAGCAAAAATGAATTTTACTGTAAAACAATTACACGAGATACAATTATGATAGAAATGCATACGGATGGTACATACATACTGTAATATACTAAGCTGCTTAGGTGCAATTATAATTGCATAACCATGAAGTGTAAGTGCCAACTAGATGACTAGAAATTATTGTCAATCGAAAAATACCTAGGCGGTAAGAAAAAAATACCATTTCTAACGTTGGTAGCATATAGACGTCGTCAAGATTTGGAAGTTCATTCATCAACAGATAAAAACATGCAAAAAGTCCTAATGATAGTAAATAGTCATATTTGTACAATTTATCTTTTCAAGTTGCAGTGATAATCTTGAAGGTGAAGGTTTTGAGGCAGTGGCGGATCTGCCTTTAGTCTAAAGTGGGTAATGTTCTTCATGAAATCCAAATTTTCTTTAGTTAGTTAATTATTTTATTAATTATGATCACTCCAAAATTTTATTTATATATATATCATACGAAATTTTTATATTATTAATGCATATGTGGACACCTAAAGAATTTATAGATCTACCACTATTTATTTTGAAGGCAGCCCAATAAACATAACAGATGAATAAAAAATGGGATATTTTTCAGTTGGAGAAGGCGGCATGGCAATTGCCACCGAAGTCAAGTTTGAAATTCTCTGTACAGGGTCCAGTTTGCTTGCTTAAGATCCATTTACGGCCTGCTATTCATATCCAAAATCTATCAAATATCATTGCTCATATTTCTATTTCTTAAAATATTAATGATATTTTAATTAATATTTTTTTTTATTTTTTATTAAAATTTTAATTATATAAATATAATATGTTATTTATTATTTACTTTATAATATTATTTATAATTGTAAATTAAATTCATACGTGGAATAAAAAATATGCGATATAATATTATTTATTGTTTATTATTTAAGTTATCATATTTTTATCTTTTAAAATATGTGATATAAATAAATCAAATGAAATTAGGTGGCTAAATGAAACAATAACTTAAGTTTAATGATGATTTTGTAAAAAAATAGTTAGGTGATTAAAATAGAACTGCAAAAATAGTTGAGTGACTAAATATAAAATTTATCTTTGTGTTTTTTAATGGAGTTAATGATTTGATATAAATGAGATAACAATTTAAACTTTAGAATTCAAAATATTTGAAAAACTCTTTAGGAGGCGTTTGGATGGAGGATTTTAGGATTCCTCAGAGGAATATTTTTTTTCCTCACTAAGGATACCCATGTTTAGTTGGGTATTCTTTCCCAACTGAGGGTAATTTTTCTTTCCCAACAATAAATATTCCTGGGAATTTTATTCTGTTGAAAATATTTTGATGTTTCAATATAACAAATTAAGTTAAATGAATTTTATATTTTACAAAAGATTTTCTAAGTATATTCAATATAATTATTCGAATATAAAAAATTACTCCAAGTTTTTCAAAGTTCATTTAATCCTTACTAAAGTGTAAAAAATATGTTTTAATCTTTTAAACAAATTTCCAAAGTATTTCCAGCCTTAATCGAGTCAAAAATAATTTCTTAATTAAAATCAAACCAAAATGGGCAGATTGCCCACAGGGAACAGATTCCTCCCAGGGAGTACCGATTCCCCCTGAATGGTTTGGCTCTGAGAAATAACAGATTGCTCGGAGGGAACTGATTCCCCCTGTTTAACGGTCGAAATATTTGAATTTTACACTACATGAACCGATTCCCTATGAGGGGGTACCGATTCCCACCACGCTCCAAGCAGTTTTATTAATTGTTTTTCACACTTAAACGGCTCTATTGACTCCACTAATCATCCCCAACATTCAGAATCAATTGAAGGAGTATTTAAACAAGCTTATAAGCCATTGATCAATAACAAGAAACAAAAACAAGAGAGAATCAAAAAGAAAGCATCAAACCTCAAGTTTGAGCAATTTCAAGCCAAATTTCATTCAATATTCATCTTTGCTTTCAAGAACACTTATTATGCTCAATTGTATTATTCTTGAGTGTTCTTTCTTTGTTCTAGAATTGTGCAAACATCTTTCCTTGTGAGGATTTTCTTGTAAGTTTGCAAAATTTTTATTGTTCTCTTTGGGAGAGAGTGTTCTCAAGAATTTGGGGTATAATTCTTGAGGGATTTGTAAGATTACTCTTTGTCCTCAAAAGAAAGACAAATTAGTGAATTTGTGGAAAATCCTTAGTGTGGATAGCTAAGGTAGTGGACATAGACTTTGGTTGAGAAAGTCGAACACTCTAAATCGTTATGCAAATATTTCAATTTTCTGCAAAAGCTTCCACCAAATTTTAATTTCCAATTCAACCCCCTCTTGGCTATATTCGTCAATCGATTAACTCAACAATTGGTATCAGAGCCTCACTCATTTGAAGGTTTAATCGCCTCTTGAGTCGATTCGGGAAGAGTTACATCGATATTTAAGTCATCAATGGTCGACTCTTCAAACAACACTTCGTTCTCGATTCAATGCCTGTCAACAAGCCTTATTTCTTCAATGGAGCTAACTATGCCTATTGGAAGAATAAAATAATGTACTTCATTCAAGCAAGTGACATGGGAGCATGGAATGTCATAGAATATGGATACATCAAACCTTCCACTCACCCAAGATTGTGGAGTGAAGGAGAAACAAGAATGTTACAGCTCAAGTCTAAAGTCATTTATATTATTTTTTATGCTCTTAGATCAGATGAATATGGAAGATTTTCATCTTATACAACCGCCAAAGAAATGTTAGACAAACTACAAGTCACTCATGAAGGCACCGATGAGGTAAAAGAATCTAAAATTAGTCTTCTAACTCATAGCTATGAAAATTTCAGGATGAAACCGGATGAAGACATCAATGTTATGACAGATAGATTTTCCACGATTGTTAATGGTCTCAAATCATATGGAGAGATCATTCCAAATGAAAAGCTTGTGAGGAAGTTGGTTTACTCACTTCCAAAATCATGGCAATCAAAGAAGAAGACATTCATCGAGGCTAAGAACTTAAAGTCCTTAACCCTTGAAGAACTAATTGGTTCACTACTCACTTATGAAATAATGCTTCAAGATGAGGTAGACTTCGATAAGATTGATGAGACAACAAAGAAGAATGAAAACGTTGGAGTTTCTCTCAAATCCACAAAAGA